GCTGCTGTTTAGACTGTTTACACATGACTGTACAGTCAGATCCAGCACCAACCACATTGTGGTTTCCAGATGACATGTCAGTGGTCGGTCCCATCCGTTATGGTGTTTAGTCCGTTTACAGAAAGGACATGAAGCAGCTTGAAGTCCGGTGTAGATCCAAAAGTCACAATCAATGTGGACAAAATGAAAGAGAGATTGATTTCAGGAGGCCTGGCAAAGATCACCACACAGACCTCACCACAAATAGTGGTGCTGTGGAGAGGGCGAGTAGTGTTTAGTTCCTGGGTATACTTTTGTTAAATGTCTGAAAGTCTACTCTTCAGTCACATACTGGATTCTTGGTTTCCTCTGTGATGATGTACAGAAGCAAAATGATAAAGTCCAAAATCTCTTACTGCTGATGTGAGACCAGCTGAGTCTCTGTTTCCTCCAACAGGCCAAAGAGCTGCAGATGCTCAACAACCTTCGCAAACTCTTCATCGACGACATTGGAGCTCGAATCAAGAATGTAAGAATAAAAAGTAGCTTTACTTTGAGATTCAGAGCAGCAGAGCTTTGATTCGTCACACAATCGCTGATGTCACTTCCTGCTTTGAATGCTGTCGCTGCTCCAGGTTTACAATAAGCTCATTTATCATTTTCCAGCTTATTTACATTCAAATTTTAATAAAGTTTAAAGAGTACCATTGCGACATTGCATTTCCACTGATGTTAACCTAACTGATCTGCCTCAGTCCATTTTGTGAGGAGTTTTAGGGATCATTGTGTGTGTGTGTGTGTGTCTGTCTGTCCAATGATAAAGTCTCATGTGCTATTGTCATGATCAGAGTTCAGAGAATGACAGCGATGAGGCTGGTGGCAGTTTGGCTCAGAGACAGAGGATCGTCTTCTTAGAAAATAACTTGGAGCAGCTCAGCAGGGTCCACAAACAGGTGAGTGATTCTCACCTAGTCTCTAAGCCCTACCCACAGGGTCACCCTCAACTGGTGTCTCCCCCATTGGAAGTTTGTGTTTCAGTTTCTAAAACCAGGATCTTTAGTGTGGGTCTGTCATTGACAGGTCACTCACTCACAGACGCTGAAGACATAGCTGTTCTTTTGTGCTGCTTTTAAGCGAAACATTCTTTGTATGTGAGGCCAAAGTTGATCATCCTCTTCAGCTCTAGCGTAGACTCTGCCATGTTTTCATGTTTCTTCTTTCCGTGTGTCCGCTACTTTGAAATGCTTGGGCCGCTCTGCCCACCACGGTTTCAAACTGGTCATGTGCATGGCCACATCTTGGTTTGGTGAATCTTTGGGATTGATGAAAAAGTTACCGGAAACTCCACTGGCGACATGTTATCTAATGTGTTAAACTGATTATTTTTTTAAAAGTAACAAGTCGAATTTTGCAAATGTAGCGGAGTAAAAGTACCGTTTCTTCTTCACAAATGTACTCAAGTAAAAGTAAAAAGTATCGTGCAAAAAAGGTACTTAAAAAGTACAATTTTTTCAAAAACTTACTCAAGTAAATGTAACTGAGTAAATGTAACTCGTTACTACCAGTTTTTAAATTGTGTTGATAGGCCATGTAAAACCAGACTCATGATAAACAATATATACGCGTGTTTTTTCCTCAATAGTTTCGTCACATTCACTGTCTAAGGACAGCGCTAGCAAGCACTCTCTGCTTATGAGCAAAAACCCCCCCAAAAACCCCCAAAACAGGGGAAGTTTTAGGAGTGACGGCGAGAGAGAGAGAGACAGCAGAAAAAGAGAGAGCGTGAGTTTTGTGGATAGTTTTGTG